GGTGAACATACTTGTTGTATACTGCTTCTGCGCTTCGTCCTACCTTAGCCTTTATTTCGTAGAATAAATGCATTTATCAATATTTTTCAGTGTTATTTTTTTCGGAAGCTTCTAACGTCGCTCTCTGAAACGTCCGAAGCCCGGAGGTTGTACCAGGTGAATCTTATACGAGAATACAGGCAGTATCGTTATCGAGTTGGGTATTTACAGGAGATCTACCACTTACATGTCCCTCAAATCTCAGCTAAAGTACTAAACGGGTTCGATATTTAATGATAATCGATCATGGAGCGCCGACACTCTTTGACATAGTCCGTGATTGAAATTCCAAATTGCTATGATCCGCTGATGGCTGCTTTCAGCTCCTTTTGATCGGATTACTTACAAGTGGAAGTGTATCTTCACCGCAGATATGTGCCATCGGCTCTCAAATTACCCCGAGGGCGGATGCGAGCGAGCGTACATACAGTGACCGCCAAAAAGTTGCGGACAAGCCGCCTTCCTTTTTTCATCGCTCATTTTCGAATGGAAAACAAAGATGAAAAAATGATTGAATTGCATGAGGTGATAGAGCTCTTCAAGAGCTACAATCTACACATTGCGCTTTCTTGAAAATGCTTATTATGAAAATTTTAAAAATCTTTTCCTAAAAAAATCCGAAAATGGCCGCGTCACAATGTTGCGGACATTAATTCTTCGAACGCGAAAAATTTTTTAGGTCTTTTCTTGGAGCAAAAACAGAAGTTTTCCGGACAGATAAGCATACTGTGTTGCAAAGGTCATCAAGGACAACAATTGAATAGGATCCCATGCCAAATTTCTTCACATGGGATCCTATTCAAGATATCCCAACAGCTAACTGGATGAAATGGATGCCTTTTGACATCTTCTATGCATCCGACGTGTGCCGTTGAGTTTCTTTGCTGAAAATGGCTCTTGACAGTGAGTGCACATGACCCCACCTGCTGGGTAGTGGGTCACTTCCAAAAAAAACCCAAGCTTGTATTTTTGTATTTTATTTTGCTTTTTTTTTCAAAAATAACTTGTAATTCCCCTTTTTAAGCCAAATTTCTTCACATGGGATCCTATTCAAGATATCCCAACAGAGCTAATTGGATGAAATGGATGCCTTTTGACATCTTCTATGCATCCGACGCGTGCCGTTGAGTTTCTTTGCTGAAAATGGCTCTTGACAGTGAGTGCACATGACCCCACCTGCACCTCACCACTGACTTGCACCGCTTTGCAGGCTTGTAGGTCGGCCTGCAGTCAATCTACGAGCCTGCGCATAAGCTCATTCGAAAGAGCGTGAGTTCCTCGACACGATGGTATGCAAATGAGGTAGGTTTGAGTAATCCGGAAGATTTGACGGATGGGGTGCTAAAGCGCAGCCTTACAATTAGAGGTGATTGAAGTGAACGCTCTTATCAACACCAGAACAGTCTAGAGCTCCGAAATGGGTCTATTACAAGAAAGTTAACAGTTTTGAACTTCCAGGATAGAACTGGTGGCGAAAGGAGCTTTGCTCAACTTCAACTGAAAAATCCTCAGCCTACAACTGAAGCTGCGTTTTAGCACCCCATCCGTCAAATCTTCGGGATTTCTCAAACCCACCTCATTTGCATACCATCGTGTCGAGGAACTCACGCTCTTTCGAATGAGCCTATGCGCAGGCTCGTAGATTGACTGCCGGCCGAGCTACAAGCCTGCAAAGCGGTGCAAGTCAGTGGTGAGGTGCAGGTGGGGTCATGTGCACTCACTGTCAAGAGCCATTTTCAGCAAAGAAACTTAACGGCACACGTCGGATGCATAGAAGATGTCAAAAGGCATCCATTTCATCCAATTAACTCTGTTGGGATATCTTGAAGAGTTTCCCATGTGAAGAAATTTGGCTTAAAAGGGGAATTACAAGTTATTTTTGAAAAAAAATAAAATACAAGCTTGGGGTTTTTTTTTGGAAGTGACCCACTATCCAATTGTTGTCCTTGATGAGCTCTACAACATAGTATGCTTACCTGTCCGGAAAACTTCTGTTTTTGCTCCAAGAAAAGACCTAAAAAAATTTTTCGCGTTCGAAGAATTAATGTCCGCAACATTGTGACGCGGCCATTTTCGGTTTTTTTTTAGGAAATTTTTAAAATTTTTATAATAAACATTTTCCAGAAGGCGCAATGTGTAGATTGTAGCTCTCGAAGAGCTCTATCACCTCATGCAATTCACTCATTTTTTCATCTTTGTTTTCCATCCGAAAATGAGCGATGAAAAAAGGAAGGCGGCTTGTCCGCAACTTTTTGGCGGTCACTGCTCAGACATTTTTTTCGGCCACCCGCGCGCTCATGGCAGGGGGCGAAAACCCGTTTCGGGCCTTGCCCTGCCATGCTAGCGCGGGCCAGCGATGGTTTTAGTATGTACAGCGACCCTGTCACCCGGACGAGCGGGCCAGCCTGTATTTCAATGTCTCCTTTGCCTTGTTGGCCCGCTCTAGTATACCAGGGCCACCTAGGGCATCTGCTCAGCTGCACCTACATGCGCTGTCACCTCAGGTGTGGATACGACCCATGTGAGATCAAGGATGGAGGAACTCGTTCCTGCGATCGCACTACTGATCGAACTACACGAGATTATTCAACCCCATAGAAGATCAACTCATAAGCAAACCTTTTGTCAGCCCAAATGCAAGTGCTACACCTCCAGCAAGCTCCGATGGCATCCCTTTCACTGCGTCGTATCTCACGCGAGTTACCCTTGTGCTCATAACGTGCATTAAATTATATGGATGAGCGGGTCGCTGTTAATTTCAGTATGCGTGTGTATGGGTGCGCGGATCGCCAGTGAAATTATGAGCCTATATAGGCGTGCGGGCCACCGTCAGCATGGCATCAACTACGTGCGCGGGTCACCAGCTCACACCTGTGGCCCGCCGCTGGGCCTGATGCATGTAAGGCTGAGATGTTGGTGCCGCGGCTCAACATCGAAGCCTAGTTGGGCGACCGGGCCGCTGCAACAATTGTCTGAGTGTATAAGCGGTGCGGTTGTCCGGTGTTGAAACATACCAGGTTGTCGTAAAAGCAAAATCCTTTTCTAAATAAATCAATGATGTTTTTGATTTCATAGCAGACTTAGGCTTTCATTCGCTAAACGAAGCAAGGGTAAAGCTTGAAGCCAAATTCAAAATCTCTCAATAAAACTGGATTTTTGCGAAGAGGAATGCTACGAATCCAAATTGATAATACAGTAGACAAATAGCAGTACTCAAATATGCCTTTACTGGATTTTTCCGCTCATAGAAAACGAGAAAAGATAGTCCAAAAATGGCAAACTCTGCTCGTAGCCCCTCCCACATGTGTCACTGTACTGTGTACTATTAGGCTTATGCTTAGTAAGTATAGAATAGAAAGTAAATTATGGAAATCTCCAGAATTTTGTTTCTGTGTGCGCACTGGTATTCGAGAAATACTAAATCTAACATTTAAAAAAAAACTCGAAAAAAGTGATATTTTTGCATTTTCGCGCTATTTCAATTTCTCAATTTGAGCGTCCGTGAAAATCCACCAATGTGTTTTTTGTTTCTACGATGTATCTACTGTATAATGACCAAGTTGGAGGTCCGTAAATTCTCGGGAAAGAGACCCGATTTTTAGGGTAGTTAAAAAATCCTGAATTTTGGCTCCAAATTCTACCTGAATTATGAATTAGGCAGATCTTTGAGGGATTTTGTAGAGGTTGCTTCGCTCTCGAATGATACCCTAAGGCCCCGGGCAGACTTCACGCGATTTGATCGTCGCGACTGAATCGCGATGAGACAACTGTTACAACATCATTCCATGCCGATCAACTTGCATTCGGTTGTGATACTTTTCCAGGCCGAAATTGTTGAACGTGAAATGAAAATGAATGGAAATCTTGGCGATTAGATCGCGACGATTAAGTCGCGTGAAGTCTGACCGGGGCCTAAGTCTGACAGGAAAACAGAAGCGGCTTGATTTATTTAGAAGGAGTTTACTATTGGGACAACCTTAGGGTTCCTTCATACCACGCCGCAGCACGCCGCGTATATTTCGCTCCTTTCACTCCTCTTAACATGTTGACTCCAGCAAAACCAAAGCGCTTACTCCAGGTGAACGTGCTAAAACGAGCAAAAAGCAGCGAATTGTTGTCCGATCGATGGTAGATACTACCTATGGTAGGTGCCAGACTCAGCCGGTTCAACCGTTTCGTCCGGTTCACTCATTCGCTAATGGTCAAATCAAGCAACTGACCAATAAAGAATGCCATGAACAGGATGAAATGTTGAACCGGATAAGTCTGGCACCTGCATACGACCTCTCTTAGAAGCAAACGGTATTGCTTCGTGCAAAGTACACGCCCTTTCACCTCTTGATTCTCCCGCAAGACAACTGCTACGAGTCCATTGCATGCCGGTCAACTTGCGTTTCGCTTGTGATAGTTTCCGACACGACTAATCGTGACTAACTATCACAATCGAGGTGCAAGTTGATTGGTATGCGATGGACTTATAACAGCTGCCTTGTGGAAGGTTCGCGAGGCGATGACTCAACTCTACCCGAAGCCTATGGTATGTGCCAGAGTAAGCGAATATTTTGTTCAGCTTCGTTCACCTGCAAAAGGCGCACAGAATTAACGTTGATTCTGCGCGGGATCTGCAGCTGAAGCAGACCTTGGCAGCAGCAGAGATTATGCAGCGGACGTTAATTCTGCGCGCCTCCTGCAGCTGAACGAAGCTGAACAAAATATTCGCTCACTCTGGCACTATAGTGCCAGAGTGAGCGAATATTTTGTTCAGGTATAGGCCCGCATAGGTACTATACCTATGCGGGCAGCAATTCCACACATGGTGCAATTACGGCAAGAGCGCGCCGCACGCGAGGAAAATCAAAATTAGAGTAGTCCTGCTTGCAGTGGTTCTTCGAGATAGTTATTTTACAAATTTTTGACTTTCTTTCATTGGGAAAGAAGATTATCTTCTTTATATCCGCATCATGAGAACAACAGCAACGGTAAATGTTTTAAGGAGTTTCCATCTGGTTGTGAGGTTGGATGATCGCTTTGAGGGGACGATAATTGCGACTAGACTTTCACAGGAAAACAAAAGGTTAGTCTTTGAAGTTAAATTGGTCTTGAGAATGAGAAGAGGTTCTTTGATTCTATAATGCCTTTGTTCACTTTGTTTTGTTCATGAAAGCAGATTTTAAGAAAGTACACAACTTTTCCAGGATTGATATTGATGCTTACATTCCAAACTCGCAGCTTGTGTCGGCCACTGCGATTTATTCACACCACTATACCAAGTCTTTGGCAGTCCTATGAGAATGAGCGACATTATGAGCCTGGAGAAGACGCTCTGAGCAGAACTTGGCATGGCCTCACTTATGATTTTCGACGATGGAAACGTCGCTATCAGGAGGTTTGCTAAATTCCTTTTCTTCTTTGTTACCAAGTCATATCTTTTATTTTGTTTACTATTTAATTTATTTCTCTTATTTATTTTTCAAAATAAATTAGTCTCATAGGAATTGATAGCTTCACTTTTACTTGTAGGCCCGCAAGGATGCTTTTCGACGTCGAAATCCAATAGCTCACATGAAACAAGCTGTACAGGATAACGAATTATTCCCTTATCGAGCTGAAATAACCATAATAGGAGGTGGACTTACTGGTAGGAATTGGTTCGGGATCCCTGCGGGAAGATTAATATTGTGTTTGAGGATCATCTACTGCATATTGGTTGAAGGAGCGTTTTCGCGACGAGGATTTCAAAGTAGTAGTGGTGGAAAATAATGATAAGTGGGTTTTCTCAATTCTCTCAACTTTTCACTTGTTTCCGCCTTTTATTTTGAGAAAGTTTGTACTTTTGCAATTTGCAATTCTTATGAACTTACGACCCAGGGTTGCATGCATGACCATCACCGGAAGTCGGCTATGAAGAAAAAATTTATATACTGAAGCTCTGTAGATCCGGATTTCATGTTGTCCATTCATCTTCAGTTTTTTACTAGAACAAGCAAATTGCGTGATATCTCGGTGATCTCAATCCCAGCCGTCTTTCTTTCTAGCTCATTTCTATCTCTTGTATTCAACGAAAAAAGGCTGTACTAATCTTGATCCAGTACTGACCTAATCTCTAACAGTGCTAAGCATTGATAAGAAAATGCATTGAGTGGAAAACCTTGTTGCACCATGGATCGAATCTGGGGGTTTGTTGGAACTTTTAATAGCATTTTTTTTAAATAACATGCTTACAATAGATCGGAAGTTCAGCGCAATCTTGTGATGTTTCTATGGATTTATGATAAAAAAATTGGCTTTGAAGAAAAGGTGGTCGGCCGGAGTGATCGAAAGGTCAAACAAAACACTGCCTGCTCTTGTGATGTGTTTTTGGTAAAGATTAGTTAAACCATCTGAAGAGAGACTCTGGCGCTCCAGGATACGAATCTTTCTTCGGCTGCGCTCCCCTCCTTGGCTGGGATATCCATGCATGCAGTCCCTATGGTCCGGCTTTAAGTTGTTATTGGTGCTGTTGTTCTTGCCATTGCCGATACCAGTGTCATCTGTGGTCAGTGCAGAATACCATCAGCCTTGCAGTTACTTCCCGTAAACTTTTTTCTTTTCTTTCCGTAAACTTGAGAATGCAAGGTTGTTGTAGCATTTTAGTAACACAGCGATGACACCGCTGAGAGCATTGATACCGGCAAAGCGGAGCGTATGGCTGAACCCTGCGCTCAACAGACCACCACCTGAAGTGGTTGACTGCAGTCTTACCCACTTTCACCTATCTGAAGTGTTATCAGGTTTACTCAAAGCTCAACTATGCTATCTACCGGTGGCATATCCCAGCAATTTTCTATTCCCGAACATATCGAAATGTCTCTATTCACTGCAGAATTTCTTCGCCACGCTGGTGAACACCTGCGAATATTGGGTACGTAACCAGGTTTGTTTCTTCCTGCTGCGAAATCGGAGTTGTTACATACACCATTCTGCAGACAATGCTCCTCCTGACATAAATTTGCTTCCCAATGGGTTTCTCTACTTAGCTCGCAATGAACAGGAGGCAGATTCACTGCGAAATAACTGGAAGCTCCAAGTGTGAGTGTTTGTCAGAAAAATGCAACCTTGAAGGCTTTCTCAGTTTATTTCTGATTTACTCAAATTTTCATACTTTAGTGATAAGGGTGCTTGTGTGGCGCTTTTGTCGAAAGCTGATCTTCAGAGCCGGTTTCCTTTTATGAACTTTGATGATGTCATTTTAGGAAGTTTGGGTACGTCCAGTTCAATTAATAACCCTATACTAGATGTCAGAATTTAGGCCTTGAAAATGAAGGCACTTTCGATACATGGCAGTTGCTGGCCGCTATCCGAGAGAAGAATATCACTCTTGGTGTACAAGTAAGAATCCTAATGCTATAGTGTGCTACCATACATCAACTATAACATTGTAAAATGCCATTTCAGTATGTCAAAGGCGAGGTTGAAGGCTTCCAATTTGAACGGCTTCGTACAAGGGCTGAACCCCATGCTATGGAAGATCACGAAGTTGCCGATGAGGAAAAATTTCGGGCACAGCGAATAACAGGTGTTTTTGTGAGTTTCGCGGGTTAAATTAACGGTTTCTTACATTGATCTAGTCTTAGATGGCATCGATTACCTTTTATCAAATCCACCGTTCAAGATTCAAACTATGTTCAGAAGTTAGTATTTATAGCAATATTCTGACTGTTGTATTTTAGGTACGACCGCAGATGTCCGACACGTCAGCACGACCCATACGTACTCACCTGATCGTCAACGCAGCAGGTCCTTGGGCTGGAAAAATTGCCGAACTGGCAGGGATAGGTACTAAGGTTTTTTATGTTCTCGCAGTGCTCTTTTTACAAATCCGCTTAATTGATTAGAGGAACAAAATGCTCACTGTTGAGAAGTAGACAAGGTGTTGAAAGTCATCTTTCTTACCCACCATACGTGGTAAAAGTCACGATGAATTGATTAATTGACCATAAATAGCCATAGCTTCCGCTCGTTTTCCTCAGTATTCTCTCGCTTGTACCTTGGGACACTGTAACATCAATTTTTATCGGCAACCCTCGAGCGCTTCTACTTCCTTTCATCTTTCATGAACTTTGTGGGACTTGAGTTTGAATGTGGTCCATAGGTTGTAAAATTGTCAAAATTTTCCTTCCTGGACAGGGAATGCTAAATCTCCAGATGTGCTGCAACTAGCCAACTAGACTAGCCAACGCAGTTCAGATAAGGTAAAGGTTCACTGATCCTAGTGAAGTTCAGTTGATTAGCTTCTCGGCCATCCAGCATCGCTCATGCTCAGAAAAGTATGTAGACATTTATACAAGTTCTGGAACACTTCAACTCAACGCCTCACCTTCTACAAAAGTTGCAGCAGTCAATATATGCCCAGACACTGCCTTTGGAGGAACCCCAGTCTAGGCTTTGACAGCGAATAAAGACAGTGAAGTGATTTATTCTAGGCAAAGGCAAAGGCTTGCTGGCGGTCCCAGTTCCCATTCGCCCCAGAAGGCGAACAAATTTTGTTATACATGCACCGGATGTTCCAGTCGATATTCCGGCTATAGTGGAGCCTTGCGGTGTATACTGTCGCCAACTAGATGTTGGTAATACTTTTGTGGTTGGCAGGAATCCACCTAAGGTACCTTCACTCTTGATAGTGTTTAAATGAAGTGCATACAACCGTTTTAGGAGGAAGATACTGATGAGCGAGAATCTTTGGAGGTAGATTACAATGAATTTTATGAGAAGGTTTGGCCGGTTCTGGTGCGGAGGACCCCTGCTTTTCAATCGGCAAAGGTGACATAGAGATAGATAGATGCTCGTTGCTGTCCGCATATCAGATGACAATACCTTTCCAGATAAAATCAGCTTGGTGTGGCTTGCAAGATGTGAACACATTCGATTCTGCACCAGTTATCGGAGAGCATCCCTTGTATCAAAATCTTTTCATGATGTGTGGATTTGGCGGAAGGTTAGTTCAAAAACAGAGCCTTTCCCTAATTTGACTTATGAACGCTGACGTCTTATTTCTTTTGTGCATCATTTCTCCCCATTTGTTTTCATCCTCTCACCCGGCGACAACTTATTAGGCTGCTAGCAAATAAAAACCAGTGACAGTAAATCATATAATGTGAATATAATCTGGGGTTTGTTGAATTAGGTACATTAACGGAATTAGCTCCAACCTGATTGAAAAGCTATTAATCTCAGGTGAGCTGGCATTACTTCACTTAAGGTAATCTCCGGACAAGAGAGAATTTCGTTTTTCATTGTTATAGCAACCAGAAAGCTGACTGCGAACTATGTCTTTCATCTATGGGGCTCCTTGAGTTGAAGAGCTAAGCGCATTCCTTGCCCGAGTTACCTTTACGACACTCTGAGCGATGGGTTTTTGTGATTTTTATGCACTTTAGAGTTATGCAGTATTGCTATTTGCAAAAATCCCCACATGCGAGTTTTGGAGGGCCAATGCTTTGGATTATTGCTCATTATAGTCGGGAAGCGTGAGTCTATCTCTTTAAAGTCAAAACCGGAAAACTGAAGCGCTCTTACGTAACAGGATTACATTTTGGAAAAATAAAATTCTTTGTGAAAGACCTTTTCATCTCCTCCCCTTTCCCCCATGTAAGACAGTACTTGCAAAGATGCAAAGATCACCTTCACAGGTTCTTTGTAAGTGGGCGGAGCGTTCAAGTTTTGCACGAATTTTTTGCAGGAGTGCAATGCATTCGTTGGCTGCTGGACGAGCTTTTGCCGAACGATTATTTGAAGGCGCTTATGTAAACATAAACCTTCGTAAATTTGATATGCGTAGAATAGTGAAAGTGGATAGGCTTCAGGAAGCGTTTGTTGTTTAGCTGAGCATTTTCATAAATTGTAATTCCAATTTGATGCTAGTTTTTGTGATACTATAAAGGGAAATAGCTTTATAATGTAAAGGGTGTCTTTGGAGTCTTCGCCTCCGAACCCGTTGATCTGATTAGATGAAGTGATTTTTTTTCTTTGTGTTGTCTCATCTATCTCCAATCTCAGCCATCCTTCTAACATCACTGATGTATCGAGTGTGGCTTGTTTCAGTAGAGATGTCAAGCCTTGCAAACTTTCATTGAAAATATAGATCTGAAGACTTGAGTATTCTAGTCCATACGGGTATATATGGGCCTTGTCTATGTTTTGCCCAAGGTGCTCATACACAAATAACATCAGCGCTGCGCTAACTTAGGCATAAGACAACGTTATAAAAGCCCGATTCAGTAGTTCATAGCACGTAACCCGGAAATTCATTAACCATTATCACATTATCAAAACAAACAACAGACAACATTATCTCAAAAGAAAAAAAAAACTTACATCTAAATCTCGATAAAAGAGGTTATCGAAGATCAATAAATAGAGAACAAGAAAAGGCACGGTCTAGTTTGTTTTCTTTGCGGCAGTGGTAGCCACTTTTGTTGGCTCTTTGTAGTAGAGGAAAACAAACGAGAACAGGACAACTCCAACCATCATAGACAATGATGATGCGTAGTATGGGTAAGCCGATCTGATGAACCGTTCGTATTGAGTGTGCTTCAGTGGAAGGACCGACACCTGTAGTGATGGTAAATCTAGTGCAGAACCTAATAGTAGATACCTGCATACCTGCTTCACATCGCGCAAATGAGTATAACCTAATCTGTTGTAGTCCACAAGGAACTTGTATACTCCGTAAACATCGGGTATCTTGAAGCGAGCAGTGAAACGGCCATTCTACAATTGGATATATAAACTAGGAAACTATCGTTGCTGGATTATACCTCATTTTTGAGCGTGGTTCTGATAAAGGGATCGATCCGAACAAACTCGAGCTGGACATCCTTCGCACCGAATGGTTGCCACTCGCCGTCAAGATACTCGTCGATTTCAATTTCATACACCTGTTAAAATAAGGAATTCGTATGATTTGAGATACTAATATAGTAGAGGCGGAGTCTACTTCGACTGCATGAATCTTACCACTTCATCCATGATAGTGTATTCTCTTGGATTTTTCTTCTTACTTCCAACTAGACGATGCTCGACTTTTGCCACTCGCAGGATACCGCTCTCGCCGAAAGCCCATCTGGACAGAGCAACGACCAATTCCAAATTTCCGCACCGACTTGCACTGAAACGTCCTTATTGGCTGTTTGACTGAAATCGCAGGAATCCTTATAGTTCGCCAAGAACCTCCGTGTTTAAGGCACTCTATGGGGAAGCACCAAAGAAGCATAACACAATCTTTTGTTATCCACAACGTATGCACAAATCCCTAAGACAGCCAAATTGTGTTTTTGAAGTGATGGGCCATTACTTAGACTGCTCATCTTCCAGAAAAGATGTCGTTCGTGTCTCTACATCAAAGCCGCGACCAATGTCTCTGCTCCGCTAAGACGGAAACCTCATATCCGCTAATACATGGCCAAAACGACGTTTTCTTTGTATTGCACAAAACGAGTACTTTTTAGCTAACATCACTGAAGCTCACGCGACTCATTCAGCAAGACTTAAGTGTCTGGGATTTCCATGCAATACAATAGTGGATTTTTTCACTAGCTGTGGCTCAAGAAGATAACATTTGACTGCGCGAGAAGAAAGTTGTGCGAGAGGTTCGTGCAAAAAAATCTGTCTTCAAACTTCCCTCGTTCGGGAAAAGTTATAGAATAGTTCCAATTTCTTCTCCAGCTTTAAGCCCTATTTCCAGATCCAGCGAGTTCGAAACTATGGCAAGAGGTTAAAAAAGTGGTGGAAGAGATACTGGTAAAATTATGTGCATCCCCCACAATAAGTTTTCTAAATAGCTACCAGTCGAAGATGATAAGAATTTTACACATATCTTTGCAAGATATTCATGCAGTGACTATGAAAGATGAGCTGAACTCACGTTGCTCCTTTAGCGAAATGATGTACGTCTGCGCTCAAGTATTCATCAGAAAACATATCCACCGACCCTGTGAATACCACACGAGCATTATTTCGAGCTTGTACAGCACCGACTAGAACAACTTGTTGGCCTATCGCTGCCGGGTACTGAATGGAAGACTTGGATTAGTTCCGCGTTATATCTGAAAATTACCTCATCGACTGGAGATTTGGGGTCAAAAGAATATGTCGTATAGGTTCCACGCAACACTTCAAGACGAAGTTTATTGCTTTTGCTGTGAGAAACCATACCAATACCCTAAAAATAAGGCATTTGTTATTACTCACGATATTCCCGAGAATCACCTTATACAAAATGGGCTTCAGTTCAGATCCACCAGTAAGGAGTTGCGCATCGATCAGCTGCTCTTTGGTAGCTACAATGGTCGTGTGATACCCGTCGTCCTAAAATAAAGGAAAAAATAGAGCCTAGAAATATTCACATTTTACCACTCACAAGATGAGTGTCATAGTTAACGTGGTCGATGACCATAGTTTTGGTGTCATCAAACTCGAAGCCATTTTCCAGCGCCAATTTACGGATACCTTGACCAAGGTGTGGTCCGCCAGCTACTAAGATATTTCCGTCGTCATCCAAAAACTTGTTGATCGCATTGACGTTTAGAGATCCTCCGAATTCTGAAAGCAAACTTTACTTTCCGCAACAGGTACTCTTCAAAGGCAGCGTCCAGGCAAATATGGACATGAACATCTCGCGTGGAGAGTAATTTTGGGGCCTTAAGTAGGACACTACCCAACGGCAGCTTACATGGTGCTTTCGTGGTTGAGATTTTCATCTCCAAACCCGACACCAGCATCGTATTGACGGACGGCTTGCCTCATGCTCGTATACAAACACGACGCAAGTCGTCCGTTCAAACGATTGGGCTGGGCTTCAATTTGGAGGCGAATATCTCAACCATGAGTGAAGCATTCGCGCTGCCGCTTGGGCAATGTCTTAGTTAGGACCCCAAGAAGCTTTCCTCGTGATATCCCCACAAGTCCAGACCTCGATCACGCACAATGTCGGCTCAGTCTTCACTAGCTGACTACCCCCGCTTTTTCATTGCGGTTAAACGCGATTTGCAATTATTTTACTGCTAAGACCGTAATCTATTCCTACCAACACTAACAGGACCGTTTATCGCTCAAAAGCAAATCTGATTATCTACTTTGTTTTTAACAAAGTGAATAACAACGACAATTGCCCAAATGGTCGCGTACGCAACTTGGCAATCGCCTTGGCTTCCATCTCTACTCGAGGCGTTTTTATGCCTGCATCTGGTAACTATGATACTGAAACTGATTGAGCTGAGTGCCGAAGTAACGCCTTTTGTCTAAATATTCCATGCTTTTATGAAGTTTGTATGGGTGCAGATACCGTAGTATTCGTTGTCAAAATTTTCTGAAGGTTCTATCATAACGCAAGCGCAATAGATCCGCCTTGGATAAAATATAGTCAACTCGCATGATTGGAGACCATGCGAAGTAAGCGGATCTCTCGTCATATTTCGTTTTTCCCTTGCTAGTGATTTCTATCTGCTAACAAAGATTTTTTGGTTGCACTCACCTTCTACTGAGGGAGAGAAAATAATAAGATGATCATAAGCTTTCATGCCATATTGTAGAATCGAAACTGTTGGATCATCAGCCGCAGCATAAAAAAGCTGGTGACCACGCTCTGAAACAGGCTAGTCCCTGCTAATTAGAAATATAAGCAAAAAACGCAGCAGTAACACATACCTTCCAAACTCATGAAGAATAAAGAATACTTCTCCCGAGCGGACAGACTCTCCAACAATACGAGGATCCGATCTGCTGCCACTACTGACAGCAAAGCTGGGATGAGAATAAGGACTCTCATCAGGCAGCTGTAAATAATACGAATGATGAATTAGCAAATTTACCACATCAAATTGATGCGGATAGCAAAACAACCTTCATAAAATGATATTTTTCAATAACTAAGGCATGACAGACTTGTAATTAAGATATTTTGACAACATTGGAATTACAATCTGGCAGATTATCGTAAAATAATTTATATTAGAAAATTGAGGCCGAACTCGCTGTGGATTCAACTTTCAAATAGCAGAAAGCTAATGTATAAGAAATCCAAAAAAAATCTTCAATTTGACATCAAGAATGTATAGAAGTCCAAAAAATAAGCAGCAAGCTATTTTCATGTCAACATTCAGTGTCATTAAGCACGTAAAAGAAAAACAGATTCTCCAATTATTCTGATATAAGTGCGATTTAGATTGTAAGTAAGAGCTTTTCTCATGAATCACGAAAGCAACGTATGATAAGCCCAAGCCACGTCCATTATTTGCTTTACCAGGCAACCGTCGGCCGAACTACAATGGCAAACGCGCAGTACACGCAGCAGTGAACTGGAGCGTCGTCGAAATTTTTGCAATATTTGGAAACGTGTTGCTCTAGTAATGAATAGTGGGATACTGTTCGGCAAAGTAATATGGATTTTTGAACTTTGAAGCATTGCCGATTCTTTGCAAATGATGTGTGGAGTCATATGTGGAGATCCAAGTCAGCCACACAATATATGGTGCATTCCCCAGAATTGTTCCCATGGTACGTGGCTGCCGTTCAGTCGTTGTAAAACGTTAACTCTAACAGATTCAAGGCGCTCATTTGAGCTTGACGTGTTAAAGGCCACATCCAGGCAAACGTGGACATATGGGGCTCTCACGTGAGTCGTGTTTTGGGGTACTAACTAAGCTACTGCCCAAACGGCAGCTCACGTAGTGCTCTAAGGCACGCGCCATACTTGCTCCGCTTGAGCCACTTGATCCGCTTCATCCACTTCGCCATTAGTCAGTTTTCTGATTTGACCAATAGCGAAGTGGATGAAGCGGATCAAGTGGATCAAGCGGATTAAGTATGGGCGGGTGCCTAATGGTTGAGATATTCGCCTCGAAACTGGACCCCGAGATTGTCTTTCGCATGGATTCATGGCGCAACTCATGGGTCCTCGCGCGAAGTTGATGGGTTGCGCCATGAATCCATGCGAAATACGAATCCCAGGGACCAGTTCCGAGGTGAATATCTTAGCCATTGTGCACTACCTGAGCTGCCGGTTGGGCAGTGGCTTAGTTAGGACCCCAAAATTTTCATCAACGTGAGAGTCCCATAGTCCATATTTGCCTGACGCTGTCTTCAGAACGATCAAGGCAGCCACTTTGATAGTACCTAAAGCACTGACCATACGTGTAGCGATTTCATCGTCGCGATTCCGTTGCCGGGGAATTTCATGACCAAAGCGATAGAATCGCGACTATTGAATCGCTGGTAGCGGCTTGTGGACATACTCACCTGTTCAGCTATAAGGTGAAAACACACACCTCAGCACTCTTTCTACGTTTTGTTCTGGCCAAAAGCAGTATTCAGCGTGGTTAATTTGAATTTGCAGATTCTTTTGTCTTTTTCCAACACCAATACGTTCAACATCAATAATTCATATTAGTTTCTCGCGCATTTGCATCTTCGTTCCTTTTCTTGTTAGATAGAGAATGCAAAAGCAATTTCTTCAAGTTGTAGCTGCGGTTTCATACTTTGCTGATTTTTCGCGATATTAAGATCCAATTACTAAGCATCAGTGGCGTACCGAGGGGGGGGGGGGGGCGCGCGCTCCCCCCCCCCCCGAGAATGGGTCGCGAAATTTTTGAAAGTTACTTATATGGGTTATAAAAATATGTAAGTGACTTTTTTATTTTTGTAAATAATTAAAATATTTTTTAAAAATTTTTAAAAATTCAAATTAGCCTTGTAAAAATTTTTTTTCGCGGGCGTGGCTGACGCCACGCACCTTCTTCAGAAAAAAATTTTTGTCGCCCCCCCCCGAGCCGAAATCCTGGGTACGCCACTGCTAAGCATGTTATTCAATTACCAGTAACAACTAAAAATATTCATTTTGACTGATTGCACGAATTAGAAGGGACGCGCACAACACGACAGATGTGCAATTGCAAAGTGCAACAGGAAATCCGCATCGCATTTTGACAAATCGCAAAAAAAAACAAGACAAAGAAAAGAAGTGTTCCAAAAACTTTCAAAACAAAAAAAAAACAATTCCAGCGATATCGCCCCGTTGCTGGTTTCAAACTGGCGACGCGATATCGCAAGATTTCGCCCGAATCGCGGCGATATCGCTGAAGTAGGTATGGCCTAGGAAAACACGGTCAGCGATCCGTCGCGCCGGACAGCTAGCACGACCGACATTCATGATTTGCCGGCATGCATAGGGCGTTGACAGTTGTCCTTTTGTATAAATCGCGCGATGATTTTTTTTCGGTATGACCAGGGCTTAAGGCCTCAGGCAGAATTCACGCGATTTCATCGTCGCGATTGATCGCGACAAGACGACTGTAACATTATTGCATGCCGATCTTCTTGCATTTCGGTTGCGATAGTTTTCCAACGACTAATCATGTCTAATCACAACCAAGATACAAGAAGAATGGCATGCAAGGAACTCGTAACACTTGTCTTGTAGCGATTAAATCGCGTGAATTCTGCCCGAGGCCTAATTCCTGGGCCATGCCCTATTCCAGCGATATCGCCGCGATTTAACCGAAATCTTGCGAATCGCGTCGCCAGTTTGAATTCAGCGACTCGGCGATATCACTGGAATTGGATTTCTTTTCTGAAAGTTTTTGAGATAGTTTTTCTCTTCTGACTTGTTTTTCTGCAAAGATGTCAAAATGCGATGCATATTTCGTAAATCGCACTTCTTTCATGTTGTGATGCGCCCTTCTAATTCGTGTCAGTCAGAATATTTTTGATTGTTCGAAACTCGTAAATGAATATTGTCGGGTAAGATATTGAATATCGCGAAAAATTAGCAAGTATAAAACTACAGCTATAACTTGAGAAAATTGGCTTTGCATCTATCAAATGATAAAAGTTGAGATGGATGCAAATGCACGAGAAACTAATATGGATTGTTGATGTTGAACCTCTTGGTGTTAAAGAAAGACAAAAAATCTGCAAATGTAAATAAATCACGCTGATTACTTCTTTTGGATGCCAAAAAAGTATAGTGCTGAGGTGGGCATTTTCACCTTGTCGCTGAACAGGTAGGTATGTCCAGAACCCGCGACCAGCGATTCAGTAGCCGCGATTTCGTCGCTTTGATCATGGAATTCCCTAGCGACGGAATTGCGACGATAAAATCTCTGCACGTATGGCCAGGGATTGAGGGGAACCAATTTTGGGGGAGGGATGCATGAAAAGCTTTGAGAGATGTGACTTCTCCCCAATTTCAGAGATTGTTAAGAGCAGAGGAAAAAGCAAATCGAGCTTGCCGCTACTATCCTGAGAACTTATAACTCCAAAAGAACCAAAAGTAAGATAAATGACAATGAAATTCAACAATAACAACCAATACCGATTAACAGCACTGCTGACTCCATGAAAAAATCACCAGGAAAATATTCGAGTTGTGATGCAAAAAAAATCGAAGCATGTGGAATGAGCAGCAAAGTACAAGATCCGTAACCGACGGTCTTGATGAGATTTCGAGAAGCTCGAAATTTTTTATTCCAGAAATTACAATATTTGGGAATACATGTGGATCTATCACGTCATACTATCATCAAGAAGGTAATCACGACTGTATGGACACCGGTATCAGAAAACCGGACTTGATCATAAACTAGGTAAATCAATTAAAGTAGACGGTATGAGGATATTCAATGCAAATACGCGTTGAAAGGACGAGGAAATTCAAGATCTTACCATCAAAAAGAAGAAGTGAATATAGCTAGCAGCATGCAGAATAATTATACTTGACAATGCATAAGAATACTTAATATTTCGAAATGTAAGGCTTGATTACATAGTTCCACGGCACATAGTTGCATCAATTTGTTTCACCTGCTCCAATGCAAGCATCACCTTCCTGCGATAACCAGTGAGGTCATCATTGTAGATGGGATTACGCTCGAGGTATACGGTGTCTAGCTTCTCCAAGCCCCGGAGTTTGTCCACTTCAGCCCAGTTTGAGATGCGATTGTCGTTCGCCTGAATTAGTATACTTTGCCAGAAATGAGAAAATCTCATGCATATTATCTGCCGTACTAAAAACGGACACAACCAACATGAACCTAAAAGCATTCGCTTTCCAGTTTGTCAGCAGAATTTCATGTAGAGCAACTTGTACAAGAGTTTGTTATCACAAATTGACAATTTGTGGTGAACGATAAATGCTGGTTTTACACGGTGCTTGGTTTTACACCATTATAAGTAGCAGCCCGAGATGAAAACTCTTTTTGCAAGGGAAGTGCCAGAAGTCGCAGTGGCCTTTTAACATGAGACAAGTATCACCCGAAGCAGCTTGAACTGATTTCAGAGCAGCCTTCCTTAGCTGTAGAACGAGTTTGGGTAGGGAATCATGGGCATTTCAATCACAAATACGCTGTTCAGAAAATCTTTGATAGACATCCGAGCGATCATGGAAACCGCTCGAATGTCTAGCAAGCACTACAGCATAACTTTGAAGAAGGTGTAGAATTATATTAAGCATCGACAAACTAAATGATTTTGGTTTATGCCCAAAATACGTGGGCTTTAGTAGTTTTGGCTACTCTCAGCGTTGCAAATTTCGCGCTAATGTAATGCAATAACTCTAGACGCAGATTAGTTCTGCAAATAAAAAAAGGTTCTAAAATCAACGTTCCAAGCTGCTTCAGGTGATACCTATCCCATGTCAAAAGGCCACTGGGATTTCTGATACTTCCCTTGTAAGCCTATAAAGTATAAGGTACCAGCTAGCGAAATAAATTCTGGTTTTAGCAGGCTATCTACGGTTACGCATGAATTCTATGCCCCACCCACTTTCATAAAAAACAAATGAGAAGAGCACAACACAACATGATGCCTTAACATGCGGCAATCTGTGCGCTTAGGCTGTTAACCAATATTTCTTCCTCATAAGAAATGTATGGTTGTCCGGAATAATGTCGCATTGCATCTTACCGGAGCAGTAAACACGAAAAATATTGAATAGGATATCAACTGATAGAGCAAAGCAAACATCTACAAATGGAATACAAACATCTGCGCAAACTTTGATCCACGTCCAGCTTGAAGCTGAAATGTAAAACATTCAAATACTGGAGAAATAGAGTCTCCGTCAATAGAACTCCTGTCAACCTCGAATATGCTCCGGCAGCTCTCTACATCAGACATTCACGCATACAGTCTGCGGAATTTTTCTTTTTCCTAGATTACGAGAAATAAGATGGGTCAAGAGTGCGAAGTTTTCGCGTTTTCCGGCTATTATGCAATATATTTGATTTTTTTCAAATTTTGTGGTTATACTTCCAAAGAATCATACTAAACAAACACCTATTCAAAAGGAGCTCGCGACTGCATTGAAGGTATGCTGATTTTCGGATTTTGATGTGTAGTCATGCAAATGTTTCGAAACTATGTATACAAGTGTCTCATGTAGGAAGTCTGCGTGTGAATAAGTTGGGGTCGTAAGATTTTTTTAGGTGGAGATGCAATTTTCGATTTAACAATCATTTACTGCCTTTGAAAATTTGGCTCTAAAGTTCATGCAGATCAAACTTGGAGCGAACGCTGAAACTTCATTTTATAGAGGTTGTTTTGATTATGTACCCACTTTTTTCGTGCTCACCCTATTGCGCTATTGCATGATTGAACAGAATGCGACATTATTATCCGGACACCTACTATATCTCAAATATTATGTTCAACTTTTTGATCAAATCTCTCAAAACGATCTACGTTCTCAATTTCTTTGTCTATTGGCGAGCCTACAAAATATTTCAGCTTCAGTCTACTTATTCTATTAGAAAGTTCTTCTAAAGAAAAAATGTACTCACCCAAAAATCACTCAGCTGTTTTAATTCGGAAACACCATCAAAAGAAGACAAATTGTTGTTTGACACATCAACTGTTTTCAAATTCTTCTGTAATGCATAATTTTGCATAGGAAACCATGTTACACTAACAAAATGAATGAAGCCCAGTTCGGCTGAAAACGAACCAAGACAGCAAGGTGAGTAATATCGTCTAATCCTTGATCACTCAAATAAATTTCCTCTAGATTAGTCAGTGCTTCCAGATTTTCAACTTTAGTCAAGCGATTCGCCTGTAAATTCGACGACTCAATGCTTATTCCGACACTGTAAAACTTACAGGAAGGCTGAGAAGTCTCAAATGCGTGAGGGTATTAAGTCCTTCAATCTTCGTAATCTTATTCTTACCCAAGTAAAGCTCCTCCAGTTTCACTAGATGGGCAATATTCTCAATCTTCTTTATCCTAAAGCAGCAGATTACCTTGAGACATGTGTTCGACTTACTGCATACCTGTTATCACCTAACTCCAGTAACTTCAATTCACTGAGAGACTCAAGCCCTTTGATTTCCGGTATCTTGTTGTGAACTAGATACAAGTGTGTCAACTTCTTCAAATTCGAAAGACCTTCCAATGCCCGTACTCTGTGTCGCACAATTTGAAAGAAAAACCCAAAAAAACCGATCTTCACTTACCTATTGAAACTGAGATCGAGTTTTTCGAGGTTTACAAGTGTATCCAAGTTCTGAATGGCTTCAATCTGATTCTCATAAAGGTCGAGTTCCGTCAAAGTGGTGAGTTGCAGGAGATTGGGGCCTATGGAATGGAGTAAGTTGGTACGTAATATCAACTCCTAAAAGCTTAGACACTCAAATAACGGTGCAAATTTCAGAACAAACTGACCTTCAACTGCTTAAATCTTGAAAGATCAGGGATATGATCGGCGCGAGTATGGTTCAGTTCGATGCTCTGTAATCGACCCTCTTTATTTCCTGGAACTATGGGACGCCCACAAAAGAAGGCTTCATGAAGTATGTAGGTGGTAGAGTACCCAGACCTATGAGTTAAATTAAATCTTCGACGTGTCTGTCTACCAGTGGCATACCGAGGGGGGGCCCTCCCTCCCCCCGAGAATGGGTCGTGAAATTTTTGAAACTTACTTACATGAGTTATAAAAATGTGCAGGTGACCTATTCATACTTGTAAATAATTGAAATAATTTTTAAAAATTTTTTGAATTCAATTTAATCTTATAAAAAAATTTTTTGTCCCCTCCCCCCTCCCCCCTCTCCCCCGAGCGGAAATCCTGGGTACGCCATTGCTGTCTACGTATACCTTCCAATTCTCTGATGATCACTGATTATAAAAATTACTGCACTTCTTATACATTGTTTCATCGCTTCGCACAATTCTTCTTCTTTGTTTATGGCGCTCCTCATTTTACTGAGGTATCTCTTGATATTGCGCTCTAGAAGTTATTCAGTTAAACTGCTGCGGCCAGTCTGTCAATAATATTGTTAGGAGCTGTATCCGGGAAGGCTAGTCTACCGATTTTCCATTACCCACACCCAAGCACTCTGTGCACACCTTTGCTTGATGGTGCAGCCATAGCTGGCCGTAACTGAGCTTTGCGGATACGAATGAAAGTCTAGATAAAGTCTAGACTCCGCTGGCAGTGTCCATATGCGGAATGACAGGAGCCCAACCGATCTCACAGCGGGACCTTGTGCGTCAGGGAGTCAAGAACGCTAGCTACTGCTGCTTGCTTTCTTCATCTGCCTCGTTCAGGTGAGCATGTCTCCTTCGGGTTGCCTGGTAATCCACACCTCACAAGCGCTGACCCTCGTATAGCCATAAAACGCTAGCTACTGCTGCTTGCTTTCTTCATCTGCCTCGTTCAGGTGAGCATGTCTCCTTCGGGTTGCCCGGTAATCCACACCTCACAAGCGCTGACCCTCGTATAGCCATAAAACGCTAGCTACTGCTGCTTGCTTTCTTCATCTGCCTCGTTCAGGTGAGCATGTCTCCTTCGGGTTGCCTGGTAATCCACACCTCACAAGCGCTGACCCTCGTATAGCCATAAAACGCTAGCTACTGCTGCTTGCTTTCTTCATCTGCCTCGTTCAGGTGAGCATGTCTCCTTCGGGTTGCCCGGTAATCCACACCTCACAAGCGCTGACCCTCGTATAGCCATAAAACCAGGTGCCTATCTCCCCTGCAGGGGTGCGACAATCCGACCTATTAATACCCCGTCGCTTATTCGGGTCAACTCAGACAGATGAAAACCCGAACCCTGCAGAAGCGCAAAACACGAGAAAAATACAAATTTCGATTATTCACAAATGAAAACGAGTTTCTAGCACAATTTCAAAAAATTTTCAGGCGACTTTCGAAAATGCCGCACTCCGCCACTTGCATCCTGGATCACGGGCTACCTTGCCAGCGCCTCTACATATGCCTCTTCATGAAAGATACTAAAGTCGGGGTGGAGAGCAAGTCGTAAGAGCCACGCATACATCAGGCGATTTCATCGCCTCGCGATTCTCTCAAATAAAGGGCCGGGCATACTTCAAGCGATCTCAATCGCGACGCGATTTGGAAATATTCCAGTGTCCATAACTCATTGGAAACACATTATAAATGTACAGAAGATAGGGCATTCCATCAGTTTACGTAAGTTATACACATTATGCATGTGTAGTTTGCTAATGTTGGATCCGAAGACTTCTGGCGAATTGCCAAATCGCGTGAAGTATGCTCGCCCCTTAAGTGACCCGTCATACTTCGCCGAAAAAAGCCCAAAAGCGCCCAAAAAAGCCCGAAAAAGCCCGAAAGCGCCAGAAAGAGCCGGAATGTAGAAACGAACTTTTGGTAGAATTCTGACATTATCTTATCATGCGGACGACAGAAAATGACAAAAAGGCTCGATTACGAAGTCAACACACATGCCTTAGCGCCAAAACGTGCGAGAAGTGTTCTAGCTCTTTCTGGCGCTTTTGGGCTTTTTTGGGCTTTTTTCTTTTTTGGGCCTTTTCGGGCTTCTTTGGACTTTTTTCGGCGAAGTATGACGGGTCCCTAAGACAACTGTTATGACTCCACTGCAAGTCGAATATCTTGAATTTCGGTTGTGACAGACAGTAACGATGAGTCGTGTCGGAAAACTGCACAACCAAAATGCAAGGTGATCAGCATGCAACAAACTGGTAATCATCGTCTAGTGGGAAGATTTGCGAGGCGACTTAATCACCTGATGTATATGCCTGGCCCTCTAGCATGCGGCAATCAACATGATTAACCCAGCGTAAATAATAACTGAAACCGTACAAACTCGAAATGCATCACCTCTGCATCGTCTTCAATCTCATCCAAATTGTAATCGTTCTTACGTATGGAACTTCTTGAAAGGAGCTCCTCTTCACTGACTTCATCATCGCCGCTTTCAACGTCTCCTTTTGACATCTGAAAAGCTTTATTGTGAGTACATACAATGTAAAAGCATGATACAAAAATATGCGCGTATATCAACTATATCAGCAAATTATGGAGAACACCTGAGCAAATAAATAGTGCATCTCAAGAATAAATTCTGAATATTTAAAAATCTACTTCCTTCCAAATGGATCCGTCCATACTCGTTGTCCATGCGCTAACTCTTCTCGTGATTCTCGCAACATGGATCTCTCATAAGCTTGAGCTTTTTTATAGTAATCGTTCTCAATCTTTGGATATACGGCTACGGAAAATACAGCAGCAACGGTCAAAACCACAGTCCCGATAACAGCAGCAGTGCCAAGAGTTGGTGATGATAACTTTTTCAAGACAGGCATTTTGTTCCGAACGGAAACCCAGAACGGCACCGGAGCGCCTGCGGGGACCCGCATAGTGATATCTAAATTTCTATTTTAGAATAGACTAGCTGGCTTGCCCGGCTCCGCCGGGCCTGCCAGCTAGACCCGTGTACGTATGTTCCGAATAGAAATTTTTATCTCTGAACCGATTGGGACCGAACTTTGCACACATACACTTCGGGGCAGGGAGCGTGTCACAGCCCACTTTTCGTTATCGATCGATGTCGATTTTACCGATTTTTTGCAAAATTTGAGCTAGGGGGCTAGGATTTTGCACAGGGGGGTAATCGAGCATGCTGATCACCCCTTCGGGGTGATCAGCATGCTCGATTACCCCCCTCTGCCAAATCCCAGCCCTCTAGCTCGAATTTTGCAAAAAATCAATAAAATCGATATCGATCGATAACGAAAAGTAGCCTATGACACGCTCCCTGCCCTGAAGTATATGTGTGCCAAGTTTGGTCCCGATCGGTTCAGAAATAAAAATTTGTATTCGGAACATACGTACATACATACAGACAGACATACAGACAGACATACAGACAGACAGACAAACAGACATTCAGCTTTATATATAAGATAAAATGCAGCAACATGTTTGATGCGCACGATCTAAAAGCGACTAGAAGCAAAGGAATTAGTAGGATTCGCTCATGATAGAGGGATTATATTTAAAAAAAAGGGCACGAACGTACCAAACACTTTGGGAAAGCGTATTACAGAAGGCCTCGTCACTTGAATCGATTTGTGGTTTTTCTCGACACCCCGATGGAAAAACGTAGACCGTGTTAAAACAAACATCAACATGTTATGCCTGCTTAACATACCCAACAAACCTCAATTTGACGACGAGAACCAAACTACCACTCCAGGAACACACCAATCTAATATGTATGAGTTTCTTAAGGAATTAAGGACACACTTGAAAAAGACAGACCCAAATCAGTCTATGGCTTTGGCCATATGTACTATACTCGTGTTACCGGTGTTACTCGTGTTACTACTACTACCACTTTTATTGCTGTTGAATAATGAAGTGATCAAATACAGTTTCGCTCTAGAACGCAATCTCATTGACTGGTGAGTAACACGAGTAACACTAGTAACACGGGTAACATGAGTAACACGAGTAAAGTATGGCCAAAGCCTATGCTAACAGTTCCAAATGACAATATAATAGCATCTATACACTATTGGAAGAAAATGATAGTTTGTAAAAAAGAGAATTTTCAGAACGAGGAAAAACCCTCTAGACTACTGTTTCTTCTATTGAGTCGATAATGCCGGAGAAAAAGACGATGGATAAGGACTTCCGGTATCGGGACGGCATGACAACTGCCGTTTTTCGATTAGAGCGCGATATCTACCAATCCGCTGCGTCCTTTAACGGAGCTGCAATTCTACTTTTTCATGGCGCCATCTAGATCTAGTTAACCGGCTCTTCATCTGTCTTGATCTGCTTAACCTATTATTCTACTTAACGCCTGTTCGCCCCAAATTGGAGATTTGGTTGCGCATGTGATTTGGGACCCTGTCCGAGGATTTTGTAAGGATTCGTTGAAGACCGCTTCAAAGATGTAGTCTCATGTTCTTCATTCAATCACTTGAGTTATATATTGTTTTGAAATATTATTGTAATCATCGTATTGTAATTGAAATACGTTTTGAGTGTATGTTATGTTTAGTGGTTCAAAGTCTCTCCGAGTTTATCCTCACTACAAAAGGGTTGTAAACAGAAGATTTAGGGACTGGTTGAGCAGCATTCTCTATACTGAATTGAACCTGATTTTGGAAGATGACAGCGTTTACCCCACTTCTCTCCTTTTACATGAAGCGTTTGGGTAACTTATTGAAATCGCTCTGGTAGTCTATGATCTTCCTAGAGTTTAGTTATGTGAAGAATAATGATCGTATGCGGTTAGAGCAATTAATGAATAGTCTTCAGATTCAAATCATTCTTCCACTAACGCACCCTTTCCGGGAGACCAGTTAGCGGCCTCTAGTACGGTAGAAAATACGGTCTGGGTAAAGATTTATTGTAGTCTTAGCCGCAATTTGACTGAATGAACTGCTCCTTGGGTAGCCCAAACAAGTACCCAAAAGAGAAAATTAGACAGCACTTAGATTTGCACTGACACTGCTTTCAAATTCATCACATTATTCAAGTCTATAGCCAGTTTGAATATATGGCAAGATTTCTTGTGTAATTGCACCCTTTTACTTGGTGAGAACAAGTATGTAGATTCTAATGGTGGTATGTACATGGTACCACACTTCTATCGTGTGAGAGAAACTGTCTACATTTATCATCTCTGCAAATGAACATTCAAAAATCCTTTTTTCTCGACACCCAGAAGTCTTTTCCCAAGAAAAATAAAATTTACAAAAGCAGTGCTATAAATTACTGAGAGTACTCGCCAAACGAGCACTGTACACATGTCATTGCTACTAAACTCGAGGACCCTGAAAAAAAAGTATTACGGTAGGATTATGGTACGAAGGTCAGGGTCTCCAATCTTTCCCCCTCCTGTTTCGCTTAGGCAAGCCGACGCAGAGTGTGTCGCACGCGGCGCTGTTGCGTGGAAAGCACTGTGTTCTTGCGAAACCCCTACCACAACCTCCCTATGCAAGGTTTCAGCGAATTCTGAGGTTTTGGCCCTATACCGTATAGCCACAGTAACCCCTCGAAAATGGCCCCACCATGCAAAATAAGTATCATTTCAGTGATCAGCGGGTCGAATAACCCCTCTAAACCAAATTTCAGGCAAATCCGTGATTTTGACCCCTTACCGTATACCTACCGTAACCCCACAAAAATGATCCTTTCATGCAAAATGAGTACGATTTTCATGATCAGCATGTCAAATAACCCCTGTATGCAAAGTTTGGCAAAATCCAAGATTTTTGATTTTTGGGTTGTGTATTCTGGCGCCATTAAGTCTTCTAATTTTACTAGTTCACATTAAAAAACATTACGCTCTACCTCGCAGTAAACAAAAAGGATTTGATGTGAGCATCGCCGTCGAATGTGATTTTTGGTGCTACTGTATGTGAACTGGTATAGGCCCTACAGTTAACACTTTAGAAATTACATAAGTAAGGATACAAGAAAAGTAGGAGTTCAAAAACAATCCGAGTTTTTACTCGAATGCGACAAATAGTTATCATTTTTTTCACAGATTGTAAGAGCAACAAATTGAGGACGGATAACGAAAAGTAACTTGTGTAAACAATTTTTGATGAAGTTTTAGTCACGTTATGAACATTAAGGCAGTTATAGATTTTAAGGATGAGCCAAGTTTAAACGGAAGGCACGGCAACGTCCTTTGAGAATTTGGGTCTTTAAAGAACTCATGACTTTGAAACTTCGGAAAGCTCAGTAACACATTGGAGTTGAAAATAAAGCTTAACACTATTTTATAAATGAAAACACATTCAAGATGCGCTCCCCCCTAATCCGGCACTTGTCATGCCGTCCCGTTACCGGATATCGTCACGGGACGGCACGACAAGTGCCGGATGGTAGATATCGCGCTCTAATCGAAAAACGGCAGTTGTCATGCCGTCCCGATACCGGAAGTCGATGGATAAGTAAATAACATGAGCCGTTCGATCCACCTTCGCACCGTTGTGTGACTGCGGATGAGGTCACCGTAACTCACGACATCCTTCATTCAGGCAGGTGCCAGACATATCCGGTTGCTATTCGTCCAGTTCACGCCATTCGCTATTAGTTAGTTCAGTGATTTGACCAATAGCGAATGCGTGAACCGGACGCAGTAGAACGGGTAAGTCTGGGTATATACGCACCTTTCTGTTGTCATTGATATGTCGTAAGGCGTCTTACTTTTGGATGAGAGTAAAGCGGGACGAAGATTGCTTTATTGAAATTTTATCATTTACCGCCGTCTTTGTCAGGCGCACGCCAGACTTGATTCTCATGGTTCGCTTCGCTATTGATCAAAACAGTGAGTTGATCAAGAGCGAAATAGAAGAAGTGGAACAAGTGGACATCCGCTTCGCTATTGGACACTTCACTGAGATGACCACCTGGACAATTCATTGATATTCATTAACGAAGTGTATCAAGTGGGTTCAGTGGATGACGTCGTGTGTGCAGATAGTATGGTAGTTAAAGGCAGTGTCCTTGGGCATATGGGTTTTTTGCCTGGAAGCTGTCAAGGGGGTCCTAACTAAGGCACTGCCGGAGAGGCAGCGCATATTTTATTCACGGCTGAGAAATCCGTCCCCGAAAATCCTACACCTGCGCCGTGACCGTCCGAAAACCACTTCGCTCACTTTGACACTACGTTCGCACGGGGACCCATCCCAAGTGTTACGATCACGGCGCAGCCGCGGGGTGTTTGGGGATGGACTTCTCAGCCGTGAATAAATGATTCGCGCTGCCGTTTGGGCAGTGCCTTGACTAGGACCCCCTTTGACAGTTTCCAGGCAAAAAAACCACATGCCCAGATTTTCCTGGACACTGCCTTTAAGTAGTTTTAGTTAAAGTACCTTACTTATCACACAAATGGGCGCAGCGTCCATCTTGGAGCCAAACAAACAACTGATGATACCTTTGGTAGCATTTGCGCCGCACAATGGGACAGATGAAGTGGATCAAGTTTGCGAGTGAACAGATGTCCGCGCCAGCAATGCCAGATCTTGCTCGCGCAAACGCCGTTATTACCGGCGAGCTTTTTGTTCACGCCGAAGTTGGTCGCTCATTTCGGAGCTGCAAGTAATGTATAGCTTTTGTCCACGTCCCCCCCCCCCCCCCTTCCACCCCTCCATCGACCGTGGAAACCCACGAGCTGAGGTTGCCGCGCTCGCAGGCGGCGAGAACTATACTCAAGTACGGCAGTTACCCCGTCAAATTCATGACCGCTTTGGACTCAACAGCTTCGCAGAAAATGTTGAAGTTAAATTTCTAGAAAAGCGATCGAAACTCTCCAGAAACGCTAAACACGGCACATTCGCATTTGTTTGGTTCACTTTTCCAGCTGAGGGCGGCAAACTCAGCGAATGATAGCTTTTGTACAATTAGACTTGAGTTGTTTCACCTATTAGCACGCGCAGGAAGCGATAAATAGATGGCAAGGCATGCGACTGCGCATACTCCGTGGCAGCATCTGGAGCCAGCAAGATATGGCGTAGATTCTTACAAGGTGGAGCATAAACCCACTTGTCGTTTCCTTCTGAGTTTTCTTGTTCTTCTCATCACTTTTGACAAAAAAGACTTTAGCATTTAGTCAGAGGAGAGGTATTTCAAGTCTAATTCTGTAAAAAATGAACCTCACACCTTTCGACTTCATGTTCAAATCTGCCCAAATTCGAACTCATTTAGTTGCTAAATTACAGACCGGCTTGTGAGGTTTTGCTCGCGGTTCGGATTATAGGCTAGTTGATTTGAAGTTCCATATAGTACCCATCTACCGACAACGCCTACAGCCTGCGCTAACCACGTGCTCCCTTTTCAGCGTCGACTACGCATACGCAACGCGTGGGCATAGCGCAACGCTCTTCGATTTGATGTGGTGAATTTGAACGCTCAAGCGGGCTACAGTGTTTGGAAAATTTCCCGATGTCGGCTCGTTTACACCACTCGCGAATATTCTACAGTTTTCAGGGTGACGGAGGAGGAGCAGTCCTACCACGTTCTACGACAGTGTTTTATGGTGAAAAGAAAGCGGCATCATGAAGAATTCTCAGTCCACTTCTAGCAAAAGTTCGAAAAAAGTAATCATTTTCATTAGATAATGCAGGCATAACTGAAACACAAACAAACTACAGCTCGAAAATAGTTTCTATAGCATACACTATGAGAGTGGATTATTGGAGTCTCTCCATCTTCATCTTTGCGAGCATAAACATTGCACTAGGATCGGTTAATGGATGCAGAAAGAGAGAGTTCGATGCAATGCACCTCTGAGAGATAATGCCTGTTGACATTCCGAATGTGCTACCCGTGGGAAAGAAGGTTTGGCAAAAAAACCAGTTAACTAGCAATAAGATTCGAATGTAATAATGATTAAAGCGGATCTTATGACGACCACAGTGATAGCATAAGAGCTAGATCAACTATTCATCTACACTCCCGGGTCGCCTCCCATGGTTCCTGGATTGTTTGCTGATCCGAGGCCTACAGGAAACACTGACTCGCTCGATTCAGCATGCTTCTTCCTTGAATTAATGCGAGCAAGATCCTGCCTGTAAAATTCACGATGTACGGTTCTAGTATATCGGTTCGTTCTGAACGTTCCGTTGCTGGTACAATTCAAGAAACGGTCATTATCAAAACTCATCCCAGCAAAACTCACCTATACTTCTTGGAAGCGATCCTCATTTTCAGTGTTTCGGAAAACGACTTTCTGGACCTTTTTGTTATTGTATTCTTTTGCACCTAAAGGAAGACAAAATAATGAAACATCCACATTGATTTCCTAGCGCGCTACTAGCTGGATGTGAAATCACTCGTCGGAAAGATTTATAGAGCATTAAAATCGTGATGATGGCGCATGCACTCTCTATCTCTAACGGTTTTTCTGTTGACTTATGATAGTATTCAAACAGGAAGCGAATGAGCTGAGCGGTGAGGTGAGTCCGTTTGAATGGGTGCTTTATGCTGCTATGTGCGCAAAGACCGCAGTCAAACTTGTCTCGATTTTGTAAATTACCTATACATGACGCCATATAGATGAGTGACATTGTGAGCTGTTTAGAAAACCTGAGTTAAAATACCTCTGCACGAGTAGCAGCACGTTCGGCAAATATTCGCTCTAAGTCACTGGTATTTGTTGACATACTTGTCTTGAAGTCGGTGTAATCTAGCTGAAACACAATGGGGTAAATCTGGACTCTGGAAATATGACAGATTTCGATCAATTACGAGTGATTCAAAAAGTTTGGACATTGTCTTTCAAAATCTAATCTCACATAATCGTTTTCCATCTGAGATAGCTTGTCCAGAGCGTTGCGGATCATCTGAAAATATGTGTCATAAATCGTTCACTACTATCGCGATGGAAGCTTGATAGAATATGCTTGCAGTAGAATAAAAGAGCAGAAACTATGTCGACTACATCTGAAATTATTTTTCTAAATGAAGAGCAACTGAAATTTTAACAATTGGCTGCTACAACGATATTCACAATTCGTGAGATGTGATTATGAGAAATAGTCTCCGAGCCACAACAAACCAAAACTAATGAAGAAATCTGAAAACAATTAACTGGACCTACTCCATTGTAAGGTGCTCGTGCAAGGGCTTTGGCGAAGTAGCGAGTTGCCACGTTTGTTTCTCCAAGGCAGGCGTATGACATAGCCATAGACGCCATCGAGTGCCAGTCCATTGGATTCATGAGAAGTGCCTTGCTAAAAGAGAAGAAATGAAAAGAAATTAACACAGCACATATATGATTATTTAACAACGTACTTGTGAAAATCTATAGACTCTTTGAACTTTCCCAGTCTTCGGCAGACATGACCAAGATTAGCAAGTAGAGGTTGCCAGAAGGGATCTAACTGCCTAAATCACCCCCATCATAGTTCTATTGTACAACAGCGACCAAGATAAAACGGACTCGCTGATTACCGCACTGGAGTCGACATTTTCTGATTCCTCGTTCCCAATTACAGCCAACAAAGCGTTGTTGAAAAACTGCTCAGCAGCTGAATATAGAACTTCAGAAAATCCACGAAAGAAAAACTCACACCGTTTTGTGTGCACAAAATGTGGACTTTAAATAACCACACACCGTAACCCCAATCCCATCCTCCACTTCAAGCACTAAGCCCTGAAGACGCTTCAAAAAAGCCCGCCATCTCCGGTCACTTAGTAGGTGTCAACGCAAAGCTTTTGAAGCGCGTTTTCAAGACTGCAGGAATTGGAGGGTGGAAGTAGGGTTACGGTACACTCGGGGGTTCACTACCTAATACCCCAGATTTGATCAGCATTCCTATAGTCGAGCAAGTGCCTTGAAACAAACGAAATGAAGCGACCCCCCACTTATAGACCCTTACACTACTGCAAGACGACACTTTGTCGCTTGGCCCCAGGGCCGCCTCATTTTTCTAGAGCTAATGTAAAATGTCTAGCTTATACCTAACAGGTTGAGAATTGAAAGAGCATCTTTGCTAATAAAAAAAAGACAGTTGTGATAAAAGCTGTGCAACCGCGAAGGAAAACTCACTGCGAAACTTATTGTAACGGTAGTAATACGATCCTCGTTCGTGCATTATGACCGGATCAGACGCTCGTATACAAGAAGCCTCACGAAGAAAATCCTCAGCCATTCGTACTCCTACTCTGCAGTACTGCATACCAATATACATTTTCGGCTCATAATGCCAGGGAAGAATGCGTGCCGCCTAAAATGAAAAACAGTCGAATTGGTGGAAAGACCGCTTATCAGTAGAACTTACGCGATAATAGCAGTTCAACGCCTGCTCATTCTCACATTCAGCCGCCAAGATATGACCATAAGCTATCCATCCTTCTCCAAAAGCTGTTCGCATCAAGGCAGCTTTGTCTGAAGCATGATGTTACAATATGAACTGAAAGTAAAAAATTTCTTACTCTAACTTATGAAAGTTCTGGCTGCATGTATGTTGAAGCATGTGAAGTAGTACATAGCGACCACGTACCTAGAAAATCACATTTCAATCAAAATAAACAAAATGTGCTCATGATCTCAAATTCTGCCTACCAGCTATAATGATGGTCTGGAAAGGATACAACTAGCTCGTGCGCTAGAAGAAACAGTCTTCTATAATCTTGGAAGTAACATAAACAGTTCGCATGTAGAATGACACAGTCCTGCAAGCATATAATTTTCAAACTTCATGCTAAATTGTCTTGAACATTATCACTTTACGAACAAAGTGCCTACCAAATATAGCCCATGCTCTTCCATAATCGCAGTAGTGATGGCCAGAGTTTCAGCAACGTTTCCATCACGATAGAGTTTATGTGCATGCCTCGTCCTCTGACGTGGATCAGCCGATGCACATTTTTTCTTCATTTTCTTCATCTGGATAGAAAAAACTGTTAAATAAAAGCCCGACACATGAGCCAGTTTTAACCCACCAGTCGATAGCAAGGGTCTCGCTTCGTACACGGAACTAGCCTATACTTCCTGAGCAATTCCTCAGCAATCAAGCAGTGGCGATCCTGTAAGATTGATTTAGTTTAATGATCTAAAAATGACTTTTCCCTGCGAATGCTCCAAGCAACTGTGATGTCTTTGCAATCGACTGTATAGAAAACAAGCATAAATTCGATGCTTACATCACGACACTTTGAACCAGACGAAGGCAAACAAGTTTACTCTAACTCACTTGCATGAAAGCAGAGGTTAGGCATCTAGTTGCAAATTCCCGATTTTCCATCAAAATATAAGTGCGACCATAAACGACCATCAAAGCCGAGAATAGCTGAAATATCCACGATAAAGCAAAGCGACCGCACATGAACTACCCAAACCTTGTTGTGGGCCAGAATCTTGTTGAGTTCCGCAAGATCTTCTCCAGATATTTCTTCTGATGCAGAATCAAAATAATCCTCCAAGCCACAACCTGCGTCGGGAGATTTCACGGGTAAATCTTCATCCAGCATCTAAATGTTTCAGGTAAACTCATATCGTAACATTCACAGAAAGGTGACCTACCAGGTGCCCAATCTGAAGTTGTACTATGTCTCCATACATCTTTAGATGATATAGCGCATTTACATAGTAATAAGCAAAAACAAGGTGTTTCTTATACAAGCGCTGGGAAGATATGAGAGATGAGATTCTCTTGTACTGGCAGACCCTTGTAAGTTCCTGCAAGAACTTTCAATGCTGTGTGATGAAGCATGTGGACCAGATCTGATTATTTCTGATAGCCAGAATTAATCTGAGAGCTCGGCAAAATGAAACCTTTAAAGACAAGCTTGAAATAGTAAAAAGGATCTTAGTGCAGTAAATATACATGATCGTACGAAGAAATAGAAATATTATTATGAAAAGCAATAATAACTTTGATGATGGAAGTAAGGGACTATTAAACATACCTTGATATAGTTAGCAAAATCGACCATACTATATCCATTCTCCGACTTCTTTGCAAACGCGAAATCAATCCAATATGTGGCAGTTTCAAAGTCGCCCCGATCAAGATATCTCCTGCAACAAACAGTTTGCAAGCTAAAAGGAATGTGTTCTGACACATCTCTATCTAACAAAAATTTGCAGCTGCAAAATAAAAATCAAAGGCAACTTAAGTAACAAGAAACAGCCAATACATAGGCACTGGTCAGACTTTGCTCGAAAGACACAAAAGCGCCCGAACTTCATCTCTCTTCCCTCTCATCTCTGCTCGCATGAGAAAGTGATTAGAGATTACAAAATTTAGGCGATTTTGAGCGAAGTCTGACCGCAGGCTGGACTCGTGGAAAAGCCATTTCCTTTAGTAAATTATCGCGGAAAAAGTAGAAAAGCACAAGAACCGACAAACTCACGATATTAAGCTTTCATAATCGGACTCATCAAAGATGTTGTAACGCTCATACTCATCGTCAGGAGAGCTGAATAAGCGTAATCAGTAACGGGAAGTTATGTTATGATCGAACTTACTCATCCTCAGAAAGTGGCGACGTGTCCAAATCCAGTTCGGCGACAGACGTGGAATGCATGTTTATAATTGAAGGCTAGGATTCTAGCAGGTACCTTAGAACTGTTTCACATTGTTGAATTCAACGGTCTTCGAGACAGATAAGCGTTTTGTACGAGGTTGAAAAGAATTCGCTGGCTCGGGCACGCCCAAGAGGAGAGCCCAAAAGGGGCCTGAAAGCGCTCAAAAGCGCCCAGAGGCGCTCGAATTTCTTTAACCTCTTTTCATTTCTCCCATCTCTCCTCAAACACGTTCCGCGCTAATCTAAAAGCGCCAGCACGCTACAATGACGAGATATGAAAAACTTGGAGAGATTGAGGAAATTTGAGCGTTGGGCGCTTTTGAGCAAAATCCGGCTGTACCTTAGACGTACATGTTAGACGTTCATTCAACAAAACCCAATTCCAAGTTCACTTTGCCCCTTATTTACAAAAAAAAACATATTTTTGCTTGAAAACCCAATTTCTGGAAAATGCCGACTTTGTATGGTACCCCAAAACTGTTCCCATATAAACCACCAACGTGGCTGTCTGTCGATCATTTTAACATGTCAACTTCGAATAAGCGCCTTAAATTCTCTGAAGTTAATGTGTTAGAAAGATCGAAAGGCAGTCACCTTGATTCATACGGAAACAATTCCAGGGGATGCACGATACTGTATTATAGATCCCAACTGGTCATCGACTTGGAACAGTAGTCAAAACCAGGCGTAGAGGGATTGCGCAGCTGCTGTGACTGCACAAACTTCGCTAAAAATGTCTCGCTGAGGTTGTCCTTCAGAAAGGATGGAAATCAAGTGGTGCGCACTTGCATATGCTGAAACTGGGAATTCAAAAAAGTACTCAAAGTTGAAGTTCAGTAATCATAATGAACCAATCAAGATCAAAATTGGAATTTCTATGTTTTCAAGGTTGTTCTTCTGCATAGCTATGATTGTTCGCAAAACAAAACACAAAAAGCACTTTTTTCAAACAATTTTTCAAAATCTAAGTTTAAGTTCAGCAAAATGTTCAAAGTGAATGGTTAGATAACGAGTTCATGCCAGTACACATAGACATTTTATACGACATCACTAATCATTTATGGATATGTGAGTGACAAGATCGCGCCAACAGGTATATAGCTTGTAGCCAAGAGAACTGTAGTCATGTCATTCTTGATAATAAATGTGGATAATCATGAGGCGTCTCCGAATCAGTGATAGTCAACTAGTCATGACTACATAAGATGTAGGTCAGAACCTTAATGCGCCTGCGGCATTCTGCTCGAAGGAAACCTTTATGAGGTCATAACCTTGCAACGCGGAAGAGCGAAAACATGTAATCGAGTACATGTACCGTGTTCAAGTACAGACAAGTCTCTAGTTTTATCCCACTGATGTAAGTTTGAGAACAGGCGTCTCCAGTTCAAACCGCTAAATTCTGATGTTTAAAGTTTGTTCGTAATTGTGTCCTGGCCTTTTACACAAAACAGACTATGTTGAAATGAAATGGAGGACCTCGAAAACATAGAAATTCCAATTTTGATCGTGACTGGTTCATTATGATTACTGAACTTCAACTTTGAGTACTTTTTTGAATTCCCAGTTTCAGCATATGCAAGTGCGCACCACTTGATTTCCATCCTTTCTGAAGGACAACCTCAGCGAGACATTTTTAGCGAAGTTTGTGCAGTCACAGCAGCTGCGCAATCCCTCTACGCCTGGTTTTGACTACTGTTCCAAGTCGATGACCAGTTGGGATCTATAATACAGTATGCACGATACGTCCGACGATATGCCGCGCATTCCATTTGTCGCAGGACATCTTCAGCCCTAGCTTGCAAATGGGACTCTCGTAACTTCCACTATGAGAAGAAAGAGCCTTCTTGGTTGAAATGCCCGTACCTAGATTGCTGAAACAAAGAGAAAAACATCCAAAGAATTCAAATTTCAATTGATGCAAAGGCGGCGCCATCTATTCCTACCGGGCTGGCTGCGCGAGCGGTTCGCGTGCGGTAGCCGAGATTGGCGCAAGGGCGCGCATTTCATCTTGTTCTTACTGTTAGTTGCTTTCCATGGCATCGAACTGGCTCTTGAGGATTTTCGCGTTCGTTCTCACTCATGAAGGAGTAACTGATGAAGGCATTGAATTTATTTTGCGCTAATGTACGCTAGTTGGCTTAGCTCTATGACCACATGGTATTAACTAGTCCAAGACCCAATTGTAACTAAACAGCTTGTTCGTTTTCTGAATTGGAAAAGTAGTGGTTTGAACATCCTGTCCTATCTTTATCTGAACTTCGTAAGTGTAAACTGACCACCTCTCCCTAACTAGTGTGTCTGCGATGACCTGAGGGGTTTCAATATCATAGATTTCATCGTGACAAGATTGATAGGAGGAAATGAGGAGCAGCCTATGAAGCTCTCACTACTTCTTCAGTTTCCCAACAGCCGCCTAATCAAATGTCGGGCAAAGTTTGGGTGACATGACACCAAAACACCATAATCCGTTTATAGAGTGGCCAATAAAGATTTGCGCTGCGCTTGATCGTAAGGCATTCTTTTGACTTCATCCGCAGTATGCATGCCAACATTCGTACATCTTTGGCGTTCTCCTCTTACTAAGATCGTTGAATTTAACGAATGTATAAAGCAGTGGGAATCCTCATAGACCGTTATTTGAGTTCCTATGAGCGTGCTGACATCTCCAACGCTGTCTAATGTTAGACAGTTGGAACAAGTAGATTACTGGAGTATTCTAAATGTGCTAACACGCTGCCAAAATGCTTAATCAACATCGAACATCTCACACACAATAAAACTCTTCAGCAAGTTACTTTTGATGTAAAGATACCACACTCTTTTGATCTGAAATCACAACGAGTGAAGTGTTCGCATACCCTCATCGCAACATAGATATACTTAAAGCTAGATATAGATATTGTTGATGTAGAAATTTGACGAACACTTCCAGCTTCAAAACTTGGCTAGTGTCATCACCATACGCGTGAACATTGAATACTGATGTTCTGATGTATTGGTGTTTTGCATCTACTGCGATTAACGATAATCGCTAGTTTCAGCATTTCTGCAGCAGTTTGAGATATTAGAGACAGAGATACAAGAAAGCATTGCATGACTTCGCGACGAATTCTACTTATGTAAGCTATGAGACCAGTCTTAGGCTTTGTAAAGAGGAAAACATTCGAACCGCGAGTTCTCAAAATGGTATGAACGAATGGTACAAGACTTGACAAGCTCATGTGATGGTTAAAGAACAAAGATTTTCCATAACAAATCCAATAAAAGCAAAAAAAGAAGACATTTAACATACTACACAGTTTTACAGTCAGTCATAGCATCCAATGGCGAATAAGTAGCTCATATATTCATCTGTATTCCCTTACAAGCTGCGCTGCGTAATGAGTTCACTACTTCTTATCAGCAGTCGTGGTCCGATGAACATCAAAGCCCGCCTGCACACATGCAAGAATGCGCGCCCTCTCGCTAATCAGCAGCCGCGCGCGCCGCTCGCGCAGCCAGCCCGGTAGGAATGGCACCCGCCATACTTACCCCTCTTGATCCGCTTGATCCGCTTAATCCGCTTGATCTGCTTGATCCGCTTGATCCGCTTGCTCCGCTTCCTGCAGGACGCGTGTAAAACGCGCGCACTCAGCAGTCTGTCATTTGGCGTCACGTACAGCGAATTTGCTCAACCATACGAGATTGCTTTTTACCTACGCGGCGCCAAATGACAGACTGCTGAGTGCGCGCGTTTTACACGCGTCCTGCAAGAAGCGGAGCAAGCGGAACAAGCGGATCAAGCAGATCAAGCGGATTAAGCGGATCAAGCGGATCAAGAGGGGTAAGTATGGCGGGTGCCAATAGATGACGAATTCGAAACGCACAAGCGTACCCTGATCGGCGACGCGGATGCGACGCGCAGTTCTCTCCGCCGAGCGCGACAGCGAGCACGAACTTTATTTTTTTACGTTTTTTGAAGTTTCAGACGCCGATCTTTGTACGCTGGTCTGTTTCGAAGTCGAACCGACTTTCAAGCGCACGATTATTGGTGCATGTATGAAAGGCAGAACTGCAACGCTTGTTGTTTTGTGGCTTCTTTGCATGCACTATTTGCGTTTAGCGTGCCGGTGATGTTCCACAATAAAGTGGAATATCAGTAAAGTCAAGTAGATGTATGACAAGGGTGGAAAGAACAGTGAAACCGCTTAGGGAGTTATACGTGCTGAGTGTTCATCGATAAAGTATCCTTTTCAGCCTTAACTTATAGACTCAGTTGTTAACATTACCAATAAGCGAAAAGGAAATCTATCGATAGCGTTTTTGATGAAGTTACGCCTTCTTTGCAAACTTATTGCCAATTCTGGTCTCACCTGTTTGTAAGTGTAGAGAGCAGAAAAGTTCGAATTGGTTTCTGGGTGTAGTTTTCACCAAAAGCTGGAACTCGTTAGAAACCAATTGTGGTCCTACACTACTACAAATATAGTTTGTGCAAAATATGTATACACGATTCATGACACGCAAAGACTGGGCGCCATTGCGTCCGACCACGGCTCGCTTCTTCGGTTTTTATTTCAGCTAAATTTGAAATCAGAATTCAAATAACGAGCATAGTAGCAGGAAACATCACTCAAGACTAACAAAGTCTACAATCCAGTTAAGAAGACTGCTAACATTCAAAAAATAGGATGAAGCGTCCCGAAAACACAAAAATTTCTGTTTGAGATCAAAGTGAGGGCTGCAGGTACCGCGCTTTGCCGCATACGGCGTGCTCTACTTCAAGAATTCGTCCACTAGGTGTCTAGTGGGGGGAGGACGACTATAAGTGAAACAAAGAGCGCTCGATCAGAGAGATGGCGACGTCCGCAGTCTTTGCGTGCTAAGAATCGTCTATACTTTGAGGCTTAAATCTACAGTAAGAATCCTTATGACGAAGTCAGATCAGCTACTGAGGTGTGAAGTTCCTGAAATGTCGCTCATAATTCGTGAAAAAAGAACCGCGGCGGCTGTGCTTGGACGGCCTCCACCGAAGTCCACCGAAATTTCGCATCAGGTCTATGTTCAGAGTGGACTTTCTGAAGGTTACCATTCAGCTACTTCGCATGGCACACGTCTTTATATATACAAGACTGCTTTAGCTTGGGGTACAGTGGGTAACTGGAAGATAGTCTTCAAATTAATTTTCCAGTTTTTGCTTACATAGGCTGCTCA